CCATAGCACGCGCCGGAAGTTAGTGGACGTTGTCGAAAAGACACCAAGCTTGAAGGCACTGCACCGCGAAGTTAATGCGAAGATAATGTCCATGATTGATAGTTTGTTGGATACGCCAACTAGCTGGGACGAAAAAACATGTTGTTGTGCACTGAGTAGTCTTTGATGGTAAAAATGTCGCTAATGAAAACATATTGGCAGCCTGACCTCCCACATCAGCGGATGAAATGGAGCACTGCAGAAGAACGCCAAAATAACAATAGCACCGTTTCCATAATCTACATAGCAACATAAGGGTTCATGGAGGTCCCAGATGCTAGCGAGGCTGTTCAAGAGTAGGAGCAGGCGCAAGAACTTTAATGCTTCCTTTGATGTTGCAGTGTTTAAACTGTCCAGCTAATTAAATGAGCCTCAGAAATGTAAACGGCAGCCGGATTAGTGTCGGCAGCCCAAGATTAAAGGCTTTGATTAATAACACCGCGTTAGCACAAGCAGTAATCAAACGGAATCTAGTGAAAACCTGCTCTTGAAAACCGCCGGTTTCTGTTAAGACATTCTCCGGACTGTCTGAAAGCTCCTCATGACTATTCATGTGGTCCTTTCAACGACAATACAATGGCTGTGTCCAGCCACTGTGAGTCTCTATTCTTTGAAGACCGTACTGGCTTAGGCAATCATGTGATGCCTCAGAAACAATATGTTCGTGAGACTGGTTGCATCTAAATATCTAAATAATTCGGCCTAGCGGTTCGGCATGCGCTTCATACCTGCAAAGTGTAAAGTGCTACTGCAAGACTGGGTGGGCTCGAACCCTAGCCTCATGCTTGCGGATGAACCGATTGAGGTAGTAGGCAAATTTGTTTACCTGGGCAGCTGTATCAGTCCCGGTGGTCTCACGCTCGTGCATCCAAGCTATTGCCCTCAATGCATAGCTCCAAATGACCTAAACAAGACGCGCCAAAGGAATCAATTCTGGCCCAACCGTAAGCTGCTACCTTGTCATTATGGTCGGGTTTCTAAGCTGCAATGATCCGGCGGGCTACACTGCCCAGAACTCCGTTCCTAAAGGCTCAACCACGCCAGGAAGGCCAATGGATAGCAGCCCGACAAGGAACAGTGAGTAGCTCTACTGCGAGAAATCGTATTACGAGGTAGCCTCGAGGCAAACTCGTACTGTGCTCTGCGATAGGTGTGAAGGCAGTAATTTGACTGCTTCAAGTGACCCTCATATCCACATTGATGCCAGCATCGATGCCGCTTTCCTCCGAGGAAGGATCTTCAAATCAACTGTGGACCCAATCGGATCACATGGCCGTCAGCCACCGGTGGAGAGCCACGATTCAAGATTGCTGTTCATTCTGTGGCACAAAACTTGATTCCGATTACGGCATGGTGCGCACACTCCTGAGAGTAAGTCCCCCTCTGAGCTCTCGCAAATCAGCAGGAGGCATTCCAATCCACCATCTTCGGAGAACTAACCTAACTCAGGAGTATCGATCTCAGCTAGCTGAAAGGAGATAGCTAGTGGCGTCAGTGCTATCTGCCCGACTCCGATACGAGTAAACGACCGCTGGATACCGTCAAGATCACTAGTCCCGACTGATGTAAGGAAATCCCAACCAGCAGGCTACAAATACAAATCCCTCAAAAGAACCCTTCGGGGAAATCGGTCGACTGGCACTAGCAGCACGTTGCCAAGCCAACGCAATCTATGCAGTGAGATTAGTTCGGCTATCGTAGGTGAATTATTTCTTCCGAATAGCATTCGACGTACTTCAACATTGCGGATCCCGTGTCCCCATATGAAGAGTGGAAACAAGCCATAGACGGTCACAAAATCACTTGGCAGCGAAGTATAAAAGCCATTACCAGCAAACTTCGCTGCACTGATCGTTGCCGCCTATCTGGATGGGGACCTCGAGACGGGCCATATCAACGGTTCGAGACATCTTCAGGCATGGCCCAGTCGCGCTCCCAATGGCGCACGTGCATCCAAGCTATTGTCTTCAGTGCATATCTCCCTTCTCGATTCCCCACTTAACAGTCCTGTATTTATGCACCAATTTATCAGCTCCCGCCTCCAAAGCGCCGCTACTTACCCCACCCCAAATCATCAGTGAACGAAACTGTAGCAGCTACAACCACTGAGCGACAAGTACGCGGTTCTCACATCTGATAATAATAATGATGAATCTCGCAAAGGCCAAATAGTGGAGAGCCTAAAGAAAAACCAATAGTTCTGATGGAAATCAAAAGCTCGAGAGATGGCGAGGGCTGCTGCCAGTTGAAACATCCGAGCCTAAATCAACTGGCACAATCGACTGGCCCTAGGAAAGCAACAGTCAGTGAAATGACAAGTGAAAAGGCGATTTATTAATTGACTTGCAAAATCGCCGACTGGAAAGATGGGACGAACACTTCGGAGAACAGTTTAGCTGACCCCATGCAACACGGCTTCTGGAAGTTGTGCACACAAGTGAGAGGAATGTAATCACCCGTAAGAGGAAATGAAGTTCGAAATAGGCATACTGAAACGTCATCAGCATCATTATGGACAGCACGACATCCGTGTTCAAAAGCAATGAGTCGCTACCGTACAACCATGATTTATTTGAAGGCCTTATTATGAGGAAAGTAACAAAAGTGGACGGGGCGGGACTTGGTGCTAACCTATCATAATCATTTCAGACACTCACTCAGGCAACCTGGATATAAACTGACAACAAGATTGCCATTGATATCTATTGGCAGCCATATCTTGCAGCGTCTCCAACCAGGCGAAATGGCGATCACGCGGTCCCAATCCTGGAAGGAGAGTAGCACCAACAGCACCCAAAAGCTTCGTAATCTCTTTCATATTCCTGTCAGATCAGTAGCTGGCCACCTCTCTGCCTCCGCTACTCTGAACTGAGCACGGAAAACAGTATTCTCTACGGAAAATGATGGGTCGGCATGGGCAATACATGGCCTAATCAACACCGTTTCTGGTATTGAACACATTCTTCATTGGAAGCTCCCTTTGCACAACCAAAAACTCAGTTTCTAACTTCCTCCTTACGGATTTGCTGATACCAAACCATAAGAGCCATGGTCTTGACATAACGATTGTCGAACACCTGAAGAAGTCGCAGTTCCGCTGCTCCAACGGACCAAGTCTTACAACCATACAACAAAACATCCCACACTGTAACCCGATACGCACGTCCCTTCAGATTCAGAGATAAAATGCTTTGACGCAAGAGGGGTTCTCAAATTAGCAAACGCCCAGCACTGTTCAAAGAAGTGATGACCTTGTCTTAGTATGAATTCACATCTAATGGTGGAGCACTTGGAAGAAACTCTAGGAAACGATTCTGATAAATTCCTCTAACACCCAGATCCGCCAGTCTTTCAGTCACCAGGCTATTTTTCCACACTTAAGGCGGACCGGGAAAGCGAAGAGAGACGCGACTCCGGACGAGTGCATGGTCGGGATCCACAAATGTGTACCGAAACGACCGAAAGTCAGTTATTGATCCGTGCCATCGGTAATCGATCGCAATGTAATCGATTTGAGTTCATGGCCGGCACGCCGTTGGAGGACATCATGTGGTTACATGACCTCGGCTATTTTGGAAGTTGGTACTGCGGAAAAACAGCCTGTGGTCGGCGCACAGCTGAAGCCATTGTACGACATTGTCCGCACGTACCGAGCTCAGTTCATGTCGGCCACCTAATTGAGTCTCAGACGCGGCAAGCTTGTCCAATCGTGCATTCATATCTTTGGAAACCACCACGATATCTGCGCCCTTAGCTCGCAACAACGGGGCGTCCAGGACGTCCTAAAACTTGCCTTTGATGGTTTCAGAGTTACAGTCAGTTGAGGGTTAAACAGACACGGCAAATAGACAACGATCAATTTCCCACTAGTGAAAATCCTTCACAGGCGTTTCCAGACGAACCACACATGGGTGACAGATATCTAGTCAAGCAACGATTCTACTGCTCGGTGACTTAGGACGATACCGAACCGCACATCTCGCAGCAGCAGCCAGTGGATCACCAGAGATGCGCATCTGGAAGCGAGTGGAGAGTGATGCGACGGTGCTTGCATCTTGCCTTGCATCTTGTTTCTGAGGCACAACGCACATCAATACCAAGCGAGTCGTGTGAAAGCAAAAACAGCTTGTTGACCTGCTGGCTTGAGAGCGCGGTCACTGAAGGCAGCCAGAGAGACTAGGCGCTGAAGATTGATTTCGAGATACCTGAAGATATCGGCGCCATGTGACGAAAAGATGTTGCACGCAAAACCGATGGAAAACGAACGGAGTGATCAGCTCTAAATGATTGGCCTACAGGGGAAGAATTATTAATGGGGTAGGGAGAGAGGGAAGGAAAAGTATGTGAAAGAGAAAGAAGGGAGGCGTCAGCAGTAGTCTGTTTCGGCCTACCCGCTCCGCTGTGTGCATCGTTTAAGGCGAACACGCCACGGCCGATGTGGCATGAGGGTATTGTTAGTTGTAAGTGACACGGTTGTACGTGGGCTGGGATACTGTTAGGGCGCCCACACTTAGACAGGAGGACGATTGGGGTCTTCAATCAAAG